AATGTGGACAAGTTGTTTTTTCTGGCCAAAAACATGAAGATTGAGTAAAACTTCATGCTGAAACTGTTAATGCTGCGATTTACTTTTTGAAAAGTTTTGTTTACTGTTGACAAGGAATTTATTTTTTTTATAATATTTCATACAATTGTTGCTTATTTGAGAATATTTTACTTAACTTATTAGTATTACTAAGCAGCACTTTGCATTTATTTTATTTTCCCGTTTGTATAATGTTAAAACAAATTGTTGATTTAATAAAAAGACACAAATGTACAACAAGCAAACGGTTTTACATTTTGTTCCCATACTGTGCCGAAAATGAACCGAACTGTGACCTCAAAACAGAGATACGTACTGAACCGTGATTTTTGTGCACCGTTACACCCTTACTAGTAAGCGTGCTAGTTATATTATTGGTAAAATGGTAAAAAGGCACATTTTTATATAGTGCTTTTCCACCTTCAAGGCACTCAAAGCGCTTTACAAGAAGGATTCGCACACATATTCATACATGCAGACACAGGGAGCAAAGTGGGTTAAATGTCTTGCCTAAGGACACAACGACAGCATTCATCTGTGGGAGCGGGATTCAAAACGGCAACCTTTGGATCGGTGGACCAACGCTCTACAAACCGAGCGACTGTTGCCCATATTGTTAGCATTACTGTGACTCCAAAACTCCACTCCGGAAAGTTTTGAAACGCACTTATAAACTCATCGGCGTGAATAATTAGGACGCTAGGAATAGGAAAGAGAAAAAATAACTTTGGACCACTGAGAAGCGATTAAAAATTTGTTCTGTTTTTCACTTTCAGCACCGATCCCACGCAGCTAGTTTATATTGCAACAGTTAACAGCGAGTTATCATTTTAGGATCCGCAAAAAAACGTAAAATATTCATGTTGTTTACCCTCTGTACAGTTTCACCTGCTGTTAGTGCGAGGTGAAGCGGCTAACGTCGGACTTGTGGGTTGCAGCTAAGGCCTTTGCTTCTGCTCCTCGGCCTGGGGATTGTTGGATCACAGCGCGGATCCCCCCCGAGAGGCCCTCTATGAAACTTTTATGCGTGGTGTGTGTGTGTTTTTGTCCCGCTTGTAAAGGGGGCAGAGCATGCGCGCACCTGGCTCTCTGCATTATTAAAACCAGGGAGAAGGAAGGAGGAAGAAGGGGAAGTCGGAGGGGCCGGAGAGGTGCGGGACGGGCCCGGGGAGGGAGAGGGGAGGCCGGGGTAGGATGGGAGTTACACGGGTATGCGCTGGGCTATAGGCGGTATTGACAAAAGCGGATTTCTTGCTATTTTTTGCGTTATTTCACTTATTTAAAAAGGTCCTACATTGCGCAAAATTGACTCTTGTGAGCTTTAAGCCAAGTTAGAACGTCGTTACCTCATCAAAAACATACCGAGAGTCGAGTTTTGTTTCATTCACACATGTCTGAGCGATCATTTATTATTAGTCTGTCTACATCTCCAAAGCTTAAAATAGTCTGTTCCACCTTGTGATGTCATGAAGCGGTAGTTTTGAGCTGCACTTTAACATTTTTGTTCAGTAGAGATTGGTAATTCCAGGGCTGAAATTGTCCAAATGATTCTAGTGAAGGTGTATGGAGTTTAAAAACACAGTGGAGCACTTTCATGACTTCACAAGGTCGAACAGCGAGTTTTCTGTTTGAGAGAAGAACTCTAAAGAACCTAAATATGCAGGGTTTGTGTGCTGAACATGTGTGAATGAAACAAAACACAACTCCAGGTCTGTTTGCGATGAGAAAACAACATTATAATAGATCAGAAATAGCATAACATTTAATTTAATTTAATTATACATCAGGAATGACTCTAGATTGACGTTCAAGTATCAAACAAAACATGAACAGACCATAAGTTTAATCCACAGAAGTGCAGAAACATCACATTAGACGTTTCAGCTTATTTAATTTTTAACTCGCTCTTTTTGTTGTCATTTGTAAAAGTAAATTTTATAATTTCAGACAAAATGGAAATCAGCTGGAAAGTCCCCCTGGCTGTAATGTCCCCAAGATGGAAAGTACCGTTGAATTGTACCCTTTATGAAACTAAGTTAATTAATCTATATACATATTAAAAATAAAAAAATATATAATAATAACAACATAACAATAATAAAAAAATATATATAAAAAAAAAATAATAATAATAATAATAAATAATAATAATAATAATAATAATAATAATCTATCCAAAACTATCTAAATTTCATTATCTGTACTGGGTAACACTTTAGATTAGGGATCACATATTAATAACTAGTTGATAATAAAATTTATAATAAGTGCTTAATTACATCTTTGTTAGTATTTATAAAGTACTTTGGATGCATTTTTGTCTAACACTGTATTTTTTCAGTACTAACCCATTAACTATTTTCTTTCGCAGTGGAGATTACAATAGATATTTTTTGTGCATACAGCGAAATCTTAATGAACATTAATAAGTGTTTGATTAATACCAAATAATAGCTAAGTAATAGCTAATAAGCATCACAATTACTACTTGGTTAGTTATTAATATGTGGTCCCTAAACTAAAGTGTTATCCTATATTGTATTAATCACACCCTCAAGTTATAATATACAAGTTACAATATATTTTAAAAGTAATTCTGAATGATTTTTTTAACAAATTCTGTAGCTTTCTAAGTTTCTTGTGTTGCGCTGCTCACAAATTATACAAATTATGTTCATGGCAGGTAAGGAAATAATTAATATTTCTTCCCAAATCAAAAGTTACAGATGCTATAGGACAAAGGGAACAAGAAAAAATTTTAATGAAAACGCGATTTCATAGTAAACAAGGATTATATTGATATTATGGGACAAAATGCTCAATATTCGACAAAAAGCTCAATATTTATTTTGCAAATCTCCAGAACAGCTTCAATATTATACATTTTCGATATAGAAAATGCTATTAGAAATAATGCAAATATTAAATTCGCAATGGCTGCAGTTATTTAGATATTTTAAAAAGACATAATCGATATAATCTTGTTTGTAAAGGTCTAATCAACAAGTATAACAAGTTCTGAAATGCATGGGATTCTTGTATGAGTTTTATCAGTTCATTTTTCAGTCTTTTCTCAAATCTTAACACTCTTGGAGTTGTTTACCCTGAACATAATCCTACTTTTTTAAACATGCATTGCAAATCTAATCGCTGTACATTTTTTGTGCAGCCCTGGTATGGGTCCTGTGTAGGCACAAAGTTAATGGGAAGAAATGTGCAGTAGATGGGTGAGAAATTGAAAGTCAAAACTGTGATTGCTTCAACTACAGCTGGTGCTAAAAGTTAGATCTCATTTTCAGCAATTTCACACGCACAAGTTTTGGGAGTTGCATTTGCTGTTTTTATCACAATATCTTAAACTTAAAGTGCTTTGGAAAACTGGCCAATAGCCTTTTGCCCATTGTTGACCCATCTGAACTCTGTCATGCTAACCAAACAACTACTAATCTCACAAGTATGTCCACAATATCAAAGCCAGCAAACCTTTAACACGTGAAACTTAAGGACAAGTCAACAACTGTCACCTGGACGAGGAGGACAATACGCTGCAATTTAAAGTAACTCATCTGTTAAACTATAATGAGACTTGTTCCACTATTGTAAAGACGAGCGGAGACACAGACAAGCCCCGTGTTAAAGATGGATGAGAGGGTCCACCACATCCCTGCTCCCCCTCTCCTGTGTCCTCCTCCAGTCCCCTCTCTGGGCTGGAGCCGGAGCCACTGCCGGTCGCCTCAATAATTTAACACAGGAGTGAAGGATGGAGGAGGGAGGCTGAGAGCTCAGGCAGGGGGACACTGTGGAGCAGAGCTGTGGAGCTAAAGACCCGCTGATGTCCACACAAACACTGAGCCGTGCCCCCGGAGGTCCCAGGCTGACCACTGTTCCACACACAGCACCATAAGGCTCACCTGTGTGCAACCCCTCACCTCTTATTTACCCCGGGGTGAGTGAACTGTGAGGGAACAACAACTCCTATAAACCTTTTACACACTGCTCCTAACACCATTAAAGCTCACGGTCACAGCGCTAGTGCCACTGAGTAATAATCTGCCCTGTCGTGGTGCACATGAAGCCCAGGCCAGACCATGAGGAGCGGAGCACACTGAAGTAGAGCAGCAGAGAGCGGAGTGCGCCCGTCTCCAGCGCGAACAACAGGCTCCATGCTCTGCAGCCACAGCAGACAAAGAGCTCCTGAGCTAGGCTCGGAGCTAACGCTAACTCTACTGACAAGAACCGAGCAGTACAGGCTCACAAGTCCCGCTGTTTGCTCATCTGGCACCAGGTCCAACAGCTCTGCACCGGTGTGAGCAGCGGAGCTCCAGCGGACCCCACAGCAGCACCAGGGCCCCAGAAGTTGTGGAGCAGAGGAGTGAGCCTCTCCCGGCTTCAGGTCTCCCCTCACGGACAGAGTCAATGCAAACATCGGCTCGTTTCGAGCGGACCTGTGGTGTGTTCATGATCACTTGAGTAACAAAGCTCTCAACAGCTGTACTCTATTTTAGCCTGTACTCTGTCCTAGCGACACAAAGCACCAGCCACAATGCCCAGCGCCGCTCCACACGCATTGTTCCCGGTGTGAGGAGCATGAGGAGCCCCGGGATCCCCGGCTCCGTTTGTGCACAAAAATCACCGTGAGCTCAGAGTCCATCTCCCCTGCACACATGTGCGCCTGCACTCTGCTCAACTACAGCTGCAACTTTCCGGAGTTTGCTGCTGGGACAGAGCAGAGTACCAGCGGAGCTAGCTCCCGGCTAACTTAGCACTCATGCCTGAGTTTGAGGATGCTGTGACCGCCACGTTAGTGTGCCAAAGCCGGGGGCACCCCTCAGCTCCCCGGTCCACACAGCCTGGAGGACAGGGTCCCCCGGCTCTGCTTCCCCGGCTCCCGCAGCTGAGTTCGGCTCCAGCCCGGAGTGGATGCGCCTCTCGGTGTCTGTGGCCAGGCTGGAGGTACTTACTTTTCTCGCGCTTGGCTGTCGGAGGGGACCACGGCTCCTTTGCCCTTGCCGTACATCTTGGAGGCTGTTGTGACACTTTATCTGAGCCCACTCGGCACCTGTCAAAGAAAGCTCCGAGGAAAAGCCAGTGTCTCCATAGCTCCAGTGAGTGTTGTGTCCTGTCTCTCCGCGCTCTCTCTCGCTCCGCTCCGCTCCGTTTTTTCTACCTCCCCAACATTGCCCACAAATCAGGAGCCTGAGCCGGGCCACTTGAAACCGTCCGCAGTGGAGCTTTTTTTTTTTTTTCAATCGCTGTTCCGGGAGTCGGCCTGCCCCCCTCCGCTGTGCGGCGGTGGGGGCTTCTTAAAGCGACAGCGGCGCACTTTTAGTCAACTTCGCTCAAGTTCAAGTTCTTTTCTGTAGGCCTTCAACTTTAGGCCCAACATGACACGTATGTGTCTGTGCCATGACAGATTTAAGATCTTTATTTCAGAGAAAAGCACGTCCTCGTCCGCTCTCAGCCGACACAAAGAGTGTTATTCTCAAAACAACACGGCACAGGCTCAGACAGTTTCTTCTGCGTCTCCAAACACAGAGGGTCAGCCATAGGTCAATAATAATTACTCATATGAAGGGTTTCTCATCAGACTGTATCATATCTGCTTTGACTTGAGTCTAATACTTGGACCAAACCAATACATCACAGAATATTACATCAAGTCTCATCAGGTACGGCCCATGTTTGACCAAGGCCCAAAGCTGGTATTTCTTATCCGGCTGTTTGTGCCCAGACTCATTAACCACCTGAACAATGGTCTTTTCCTATAAAGCCGCTCTCAGGTCACAGGCTTCAACAATCTTACCAACTGAGTTAGCGTCCCAATTGTAGCCTACATGCTATTTATAGCTAAACTCCATTTGATCTGAAGTACGGGGTAAACACTATTGCCCCAAGTCTACAGCCCCACGCTGAAGGCCCCCAGTCCAGTAAAGTGGCCCTGCACTATTAAACCAGCAGCTCCAGTGTGGAACATGAGTCTGGAGTTATCTCAACATAAAAACATGTTTACCAAAGACAAGGCTTAGAGGCCGTAAAGCCTACGTGTAGGCTCCAGACGGCCTGTTTCTACAGGCTCTGTCAGGGCCCCACAGTCGGACTCTCCTCTGTCAGACCGCGGCTCTTAGAAGCTCCAGCGTTGACCAGTTTGCAGATGCACCATTTCTCCCATGGCCACATGTGCTGGTCCGGATCCGCGTGGAGCGAGCGCACTGTCCCTTTAAGAGTGTGCGCCGAGGCTGGAGCGGGTTTGTGTGGAACCTGCGCGCGCGTGTTTGTGTGTGTGTTTGTGAATGTGTGTGTCAATGTGTGTGTATGTGTGTGTGTTGTGTGTGTCTGTGTGTGTGTGAGCGATAAAGTGTGTTGTGTTTTGCGTTTCTTGCTCTGGGAAGGGCACAGCTGACTGTCTGTCTGCACGCGCCCCTGTCAGCGTGCACAGCGCGGGTGTGCGCGTAGGCGTGTGCACATGCGCGTGCTCGTGTGCGTGTGTGCGTGTGCGTGAGGGAGAGAGAGCAGAGTAGGACAGAGGAGGTACATTTATGTGAGCGCTGCACGCCTGTCTTTTTACAAGGGGATACACATACCACATAAGGAGAGCGCAAGATTTGAGTGTTAAGGCAAAACGCAATGGAAAAGGTTTCATTTGACACAACTTATCATTTTGTGTCTGTAAATACGGTCTGATAATCAGCATTAATACACACAAATGTAGAGTTAACAGACTAAAAATAAAATGGGTGTGATGTCACTAAAGGCTAAAGCTAAAGTGGCAATGCTAAAAGAAAAGAGGAGCGTGTTCTGTGTTCTTTCAGCTCTATGTTCCCTCAGCTCTATGTTCCCTTATCTCTATGTTCCCTCAACTCTATGTTTCCTCAGCTCTATTTATGTTCCTTCAGCTCTATGTGGGAACATAGAGCTGAAGGAACATAGAGATGAGAGAACATAGAGCTGAGGAAACATAGCTGAGAACATAGAGCTGAGGGAACATAGAGCTGAAGGACATAGAGCTGAGGGAACATAGAGAGGAACATAGAGAACATGAGAGAGGAAACATAGAGCTAGAGAGGAGGGAACATAGAGCTGAGGGAACATAGAGCTGAGCTGAGGAACATAGAGAGCTGAGGAAACATAGAGAGGAACTGAGGAACATAGAGCTGAGGGAACATAGAGTTGAAGGAACATAGAGCTGAGGGAACATAGAGAGGAACATAGAGAGAGGGAACATAGAGCTGAACATAGAGCTGAGGGAACATAGAGCTGAGGGAACATAGAGCTGAGGAACATAGAGGAAACATAGAGCTGAGAGCTGAGGAACATAGAGATAGAGAGGAGACGAGGAACATAGAGAGAAACATAGAGCTGAGGAAACATAGAGCTGAGGGAACATAGATGAGGAACATAGAGCTAGGAACATGAGAGCTGAGGAACATAGAGCTGAGGAACATAGAGAAACATAGAGCTGAGGAACATAGAGAGAACATAGAGCTGAGGAACATAGAGCTGAGAGCTGAGGAACATAGAGAGCTGAAACATAGAGCTGAGGAACATAGAGAACTGAGGAACATAGAGAACTGAGAGGAACATAGAGCTGAGGAACATAGAGCTGAGGAACATAGAGCTGAGGGAACATAGAGCTGAAGGGAGAGCTGAACATAGAGCTGAGGGAACATAGAGCTGAAGGAAACATAGAGAACATAGAGCTGAGAACATAGAGAACATAGAGAGAGGAACATAGAGCTGAGGAAACAGCTAACATAGAGCTGAGGGAGGGAACATAGAGCATGAGCTGAGGAACATAGAGCTGAAGGAACATAGAGATGAGAGAACATAGAGCTGAGGAAACATAGAGCTGAGGGAACATAGAGTTGAAGGAACATAGAGCTGAGGGAACATAGAGTTGAGGGAACATAAATAGAGCTGAGGGAACATAGAGCTGAGGAAACATAGAACTGAGGAAACATAGAGCTGAGGGAACATAGAGATAAGGGAACATAGAGCTGAGGAAACATAGAGGGAACATGAGGGAACATAGAGCTGAGGAACATAGAGCTGAGGAAAACATAAATAGAGCTGAGGAAACATAGAGCTAAAGGAACACAGAGCTGAAGAAACATAAATAGAGCTGAGGGAACATAGAGCTGACCCCAAGACCAAGAAAAGATCGACACAACCAGCAACATCTTGTCAGGTCTCCATATTTAGTACATTTGCATTTTAAAGTAACACGACACACTTATTAAAGAGGAGATAATACACGTTTGTGGGGTATTCACTGCTAATACACAACATATTTAGATTGTTTTGAAAATGCAATATTCGCCGAAAACAACAAACTAAAATGTTCGATTAGTTTCAGTTTTGTTTTTGATGCTCTGTGTCCCCCCTCCTTTTGCTCTCTGCTCTAAGTTGCCCTCCCTTCAAAGCTTTATCACAACTCAGTCTGCACATTTGATTAATTCACACATGTTTGAGTTTTGTTTTATTATTAGTCTGTCTAGATCAGAAAATAGATAGATCCTATTCTTCCTCCTCCCCTCTTTCCTCTTCTGTTCTTCTTCCTGATACCATCCTCCTCTTCTTCCTCTCTCCTCTTTCCTCTCTTCTTCCTCCTCTATTCTTCCTCCAGATGACCACTCCATCTTCTTCCTCCTCTCCTCTTTCCTCTCCTCTTCCTCCCCCTGACGTCCTCCTCTTCTCTTTCTCCTCCTCTTCTCCTCCAGGTCTGTTTCTGATGAGGAAACAACAAGATCAGAAAATAGATAGATCCTCTTCCTCTCCTCTTTCCTCTTCTCTTCTTCCTCCTGACACCATTGTCCTCTTCTTCCTCTCTCCTCTTTCGTCTCTTCTTCCTCTTCTGCTCTTCCTACTCCCTGTCTTCTTCCTCCTGATACCATCCACTTCTTTCTCTTCCTCTTCCTCTCCTCTTTCCTCCCTTCTTTCTCCTCTTTCCTCTTCTTATTCTTCCTCCTGATGTTCTCTTCCTCTTTGCTCCTCTTTTTTCTTCTCTTCTTCCTCCTGATGTCCTCCCCGTCTTCTTCCTCCTCTCCTCTTTGCTCCTCCTAAAGTCCTCCTCCTCTTCTCTTTCACTCTTCTTTCCATTCTCTCTTTCTTTTCTTTCTCCCCATTCATTTCATTCTTTTTCTCCTCTTCCTCCTCTTCTCCTCCAGGTCTGTTTGTGATGAGAAACCAATATTATAACATAGATCGGAAAACAGATAGATCTTCTTTCCTCTTCCTCTTCTTCCTCCTGATACCATCCTCCTTTTCTTCCTCTCTCCTCTTTCCTCTCTTTTCCCTTCTCTATTCTTCCTCCTGATATCATCCTCCTCTTCTTTGTCCTTCTCCTTTTTCCTCCTCTCTTCTTTTCGCCTATGATCCTCCTCCTCTTCTTCCCTCTGTCCTCTTTCCCCTTCTCCTCTTCCTCCTCATGTCCTCCTCTTCTGGCTCATCTCCTTTTCCCTCTTCTTTCTCTCTTCTTCCTCCTGTTGCCATCCTCCTCTTCTTTCTCTCTTCTTCCTCCTCCCGTCTTTTCTCCTGTCCTCTTCTTTTTCTTCTCCTTTTCCTCCTGACGTCATCCTCCTTGTCTTCTTCTGTTCGTCCTCTCAACTTCCTCCTGATGTCACCCCTCTTTTCTTCTTCCTCTCCTCTTTCTTCCTCCTCTTCTTCGTCCTCTCTTCTTCCTCCTGATGTCATCTCTTCCTCTTTCTCCTTCTCCTTTTTCCTCCTCTCTTCCTTCTTTCGCTTCTCTCTTCCTCTTCCCTCCTTCCACCTCATTTCATCCTCTCCTTTTTACTGTCATCCTCTCTTCCTTCTCGCTTCATCCTCATCTCCTCTCCCTCTCTTCTTTCTCTTCCTCTTTCTCCTCTTCTTCCTTCTACTTCTCTCTCCTCTTTTCCTCATATCGTCCTCCGCTTTTTTCTCTCATTCTCCGCTCATCCCCCTCTCTCCCTCCTCCTTTCCTCTCCTTTTTTTTCTCATCCATCTTCCTCCTGATATCATCCTCCTCTTCTTCCTCCTCGCTTCTTCCATATCCTCTCTTCCTCCTCTTCTTCCTCGTGCTTTCCTCGCACTCTGACCCACTTTCTCTCCATCTCGGTTGGTTCTGTCCCACATCCCCACATCTCTGCCCTGGTCACATGACACTTTTATTTTTTATTTTTTTACCTCCTTTTTCTCGCTCTGTCCATCTTTACAGACCTACAAA